CACCAGATTCGAATTAAAATGCCCAACCGTGTATGTAATCGTGATGGTCTCTTTTCGAGTGGGTCGAGAAATGAACACGGTTTGTGTTATGTTTGAACGCAAGTAGTTTCAGGATCACCCCTTGATCACTTCTAACTTCTCAATGTTGCGTTGCTTCTCTTCTCGCTCTTATTTGCGTATGTTAGCCACCATATATGCTTAGTCATTGCTGCAACCTCACCACTTATCCTTTTCATACCCATTAAGCTTTGCTAGTCTTGATACCCATGGTAATGGGATTGCTGAGTCCTCATGGCTCACAGATTACTACAACAAAAGTTGCAGGTACAGGTTATGCGATGATCATGACGCGAGAGTGATGCTTGCTTGTTTTAAGTTCTTCTTCTACTTCGTCGTTCAGGGGATAGGTTCCTGGTCGGCAGCCTGGGCTAGCAGGGTGGATGTCGTTTGAGTTTCTGTTTGTGTTTCATCCGTAGTTGGATGATGCTCTTATGTATGATGTTGTTGTATTCGTGTGGCTTTGTATGCCTCTTGTATGTATCCCCAACTATTATGTAATGGTACGATGTAATGATATCCACCATGCAAAAGTGTCTCCAATATGTGCTTCTATCCTTGGTGGGACCTTCAAGTTCCTTTAGGATAGGGTCACATATGGGGCGTGACACCCTGCTTCCCTGACACAGCCACGACTGCGGCCAAGAAGCCGCCTCGCTGCCCCGGCCAGATCCTCACCGGCACACTCGTCAGACAACGACACGCTCGTCGGATGCCGACACGCTCGTCGGACGCCGACACGCTCGTCGGACGCCGGCAGGGCAGCTAACTGGACGCCGACTCCCTTCGCCGGTTGTCTCCTTCGTCGACGCTTGCCAGTTGTTCGACAGTTTGCCAAGGTATAAATTGGACTCCGCCGACGGGTTCTTTTTTCACAATTTCCTTTGCGACTCCGACGATTCCTCGTCCGATGATGAGGAGGAGATCTTGACTGCCGTGTTGGTCCATCACCACCTCAATAGCCAGCGCCCGACGTTTCGTGGCTCCATTCCGGGCCACCTTCCGACATTGAATCGCAACCGAGAGAGCAGACATTTCCTTCTTTGGAAGGACTACTTTGACACAACAAACCCGTTGTTCAAACATCATAAATTCCGCCGCCATTTTCGTAAGAGTAGGCATCTTTTCAACCGTATTAGAGAGGGGGTGGTCGGCTATGATGACTATTTCGAGTGCAAAGAGGATGCCGTTGGAAAGATTGGTTTCTCCTCTTATAAAAAATGCACCGCCGCCATCTGAATGCTTGCATACGGAGTGCCCGGTGATCTCATTGACGAGTACGTTCGTATGAGCGAGTCTACATGCCTAGACTCTCTGTATAAGTTCTGCAAGGTTGTTATTGCTGTGTTTGGTCCAGGGTACTTGAAAGAGCCGACTCCTGAAGATACAGCCCATTTGTTGGCGATGAATGCCAGCATGGGCTTCCCAAGGATGCTTGCCAGCATATACTGCATGCACTGGGAGTGGAAGAACTGCCCTTCAGCTTGGCAAGGGCAATATAAGGGCCATGTCAGGGCTTGCACTGTCATACTTGAGGCCGCGGCGTCTCAAGATATCTAGATCTGGCACTTTTTCTTTGGCATGGCCAGATCACACAATGATATCAACGTGCTTTAGCGCTCGCCGGTGTTTGCTAGGCTTGCTGAAGGCAACAACCCATCGGTGAACTTTACTATCAACGGCCACAACTACGACAAAGGATACTACCTGGGTGATGACATCTATCCACAGTGGACCACTATTGTGAAGACAATCCCCAACCCTGTCCGAGAGAAGAGGAAAAGATTTGCCCAAGAGCAAGAGAGTGCTAGGAAGGACGTCGAGCGTGCCTTTGGTGTTTTGCAATCTCGATGGGGCATCGTTCGGTATCCTGGTAATACTTGGAGCACGCAGAAACTGTGAGAGGTGATGACTGCTTGTGTGATCATGCACAATATGATCGTAGAAGATGAGTGCCCGAAACGGCTCTACGATCAAGGGTTTCAGTTTCAGGGTGAGAATATTGTGCCTGAGCATGGAGGAGCGACAACGTTTGAACAGTTCACATAATTTCATCATGACATGCGTGATTGGGAAACTCTCATGCAACTGCAAACTGATTTGGTTGAGCATATGTAGACTCATGTTGGCAACCAATATATGTATCTATTTTATTCGGCTTGCAAAACTATGTGAGACAATTTTACTTTTATCCGGGTTGTAAAACTATGCTATTTTAGTTGGTTCAAACTATGCTATTTATTTGGTTTGTGGACTATATATTTGCTTGTGAAATAATGCGGAAGTTGTGTGAAATAATGCAAAATTTATGCTATTTGTTGAAAAAGGGCGGTCAGCCAACCACGCCGGCACATATGCGTCGGTGCGTTGGACGCACTGCCGACTCAAATCTGAAACGAGACGGACGGCGGGCAAGCGGCCGGTCCAAACGGACAAAAAACAAACAAAAACGCCGTTCGATTTGGGTCAGGGCGTTAGAGTTGCTCTAAATGCATCAGAGGCACACAAACTTATTTGGCCTGTGATGGTTTGGTCCAAATTTTGCAAAACTCACTCCATCACCCAGAAGCTTGCTATCCGGCAAAAAAAAGCCCAAAGCCAGCTGGCACTGGCCATGTGCAGAATCAGCCACATACGCACCTGCTCTGCCCCCAGATCACTTCATTGCAACAAAACAGGGTACAAGCAAGCAAGCACATAACAAACCGAGTATCATCTTCCAAGCAAAAGCACACGTCACACATGACACACATGCATATGTTTTCTTGCCGAAGCCTCGAAGGCTCTCGTGCACGTGTGCTCCTTTTCTCTTGGGACCTTTTCCAAAAAAAGAAATATCAACAAATCTGCATGTGCTGCTTCAGTCGGAGGTGCATGTTCATCACACGCCAGCATGCCCGCACTAGCCACCAGCTTGGACCGGCCCACCCGCGCTTAGCAGCCTTGGTTGACCTACGCACGGCGCCGCATTTTTTATAAAGATACGAAAAGATACGGTGGCGAAAATCACTGTTTAAACCCTTTATTAATTATAGCATAATTTGATCCTAATTAGAAACCTTTTTCAGGATTTAACCCTTTTGATGACGCTATTCACCATGGCGTTTGTGTTGCATGGAAGACGGCATGGTTCGAATTAGGATCAAATCACGCTAATCTTTGATTAAAGGGTTGAAATAGTGATTTTCGCCTTAAAAAATACTAAGGGGAGAGGATAGTTTGGAGGTAATTAAGAAAAATATCATTGTACTCACCCTCAAGATTACTAACCAACTCTTTTGTCGCAATTTAGACCGTATCCATTAACTTGTGTGATGTGATTTATAAGGTGGTGCCGCAAAGGTGCTTGCTAATGGGTTCAAAGTCTTATTATTGGAGGTCAATTCTATGGAACGGTCTGTTTTTGTCTCGGGCAGACTTATTAATAAAATTATTCTGATTTTTGAGTGCTTATACACTAATAAAGCAAAGAAGAACATGTGTTATGCATTGAAAATTGATGACCGTTTGGATAGGGATTATCTGAAGGCTATCATGACGAAACTGAGTTTTTGTTCTGCTTGGATTTCATCGGTGATGATGTGTGTCTTTTCTAGTTCTCAGTTCTCAGTTCTCTTCAATGATGATCAGTTTCAGAATTTTATAAACGGACTAGAGGAATTCGTCGGGATCCACTCTTTTCGTATCTCTTCCTGCATTTGCTGTTGAGGGACTACCATGTTTGTTGAAAGACTCTAATTTTACAAATAAAAAGTTAAAAACACAAACATTAAAATCATGGAGTTGATAATTAAACCATAACTATGACCGGGCGGCCGCCGCTCCTACCGTACACCTTCTGCTACGGTTTCTTCCACATTCAGCCGGCATTGTCGTCGGTCTATCTCGTCTCCTGTGGTCTTAGGGCCATGGAGGATTGGTGGATCTCGGCCCTTGCCGGCGAAAGGGCTCCGTTTTCTGATGCTTTTTTGAGTTTTGTTAGAGTTTGTGTCTTACTCAGAGATGCGAGGCGGAGGCGGCTCTTTGCAGATGGAATAACGTCCTCCCCGCCTAGGCCCCGTTCCGGTGGTGTTTCTAGCATCGGAGGGAGTGTGGAGGTTTGTCTCCGGTTAGAAAAGGCAGTGCCTAGGAGGCGCTTAGGTACGCCTAGGCGCTAGGCAATGGCCAAACGCCTCGCCTAGGGCATAAATGGAGGTCTAGGCAGGATAAGCAAGGAATTGCCTATGCAAGCAAGAAATCATACCACATACTGCACTAATATGCCAAACGGGTTATATTCCAATGGTAGTAGATGGTAGTTAACTTATTTATATGCCTTAAACTAATATCTAACACCCAAAATAATCACAAATACACTATGGGTAAAAACTATATTACCGCCTAGGCCGCGCCTAGGGCGCTTAGGCACCGCCTAGGCACTAGGCGAAGGCCAACCGCCTCGCTTACGCCTACCGCTTTTTCCAACCTTGGTCTTCGGTGGATCCACGTGGATCCGGTCTTCGTTCGTCTGAGTTCGTGTCCTTACAAGTTGGATACTTCTGATCTACGCTTCTCTTCATCTGCGGCGATTGCTGTTCTGGTACGTTGGTCCTATGGGGTCTTAGCACGACGACTTCCCGACTGTCTACTACAACAAGATTTGCCCGGCTCCGAAGAGGGAGGGGCGATGATGGCGGCGCGCCTTCGGCTCGCTCCAGTGCTTGTAATCGTCGCTAGGTGGTCTACGGACCTGAATGTATTTTTTACTTCTGGTGTTCTTTGTATTAGTTGATGAATAGATCAGAAGTTTAAAAAAAACAAAACCATAACTGTATGACCAACTGTTCAATTATTTATCCAAGTACAAGCCTCACTTTATTCTTGCTTGCAAGTTTGCAACAACACATCAAAATCTAATCGACGGAGAGATGATGCAAGCGTGGCTTGTGGAAGCATAGCTCCGATCAGGCGTAGTACTTGATGTAGCTACTGTAGTCGCTCTGCTTGTCGAAGTATCGGTCCCAGAGCATGACCCCGCCGTAGTTGTCCTTCTTCTGCACCACAGGCGTGATGCCGTAGTAGACGTTCTTGGGGTGTATCCACTGGTAGGACTTCTCGTCGGCGGTGAGCCCGATGAAGAACCGGGTCGCCGGGTACGCCGCCGTCCACCTGTCCCACGCCTCCTCCCACGCCCCGTACTGGTTGCACGCCTTGTCGCTCTCCTCGTAGATCCTCACGTGCACGCGCTCGAAGATCCCCGTCGCCAGCGCCCGCCCCACGTGCGCCGCCGGCGGGTACCCGCACCGGACCGTCGCCGTTAGGTGCAGCGGCTTCCCCGGGCCGCCGCGGATGTTGTGCTTCGCCAGCTCGATTGCCAGCACGTCGTAGCGGTCCGCCGGCGTGCCGTGCTCCAGGAAGAGGTCGACGCCGTCGGGCCACGCGTCGCCGAAGGGGCGGGGGACGCCCGGTTTGGACCCGCCGAAGTAGGAGTTCCAAAGGTGGTCGAAGAGGTCGAGCGCGGAGCGGTTGGACGGGAGCGAGTAGCCGGTGCCGTAGCCGCCGATGGAGAGGGAGACGGGGACGCCCTTGAACTGGCAGTGCTTGATGTCGGCGCCGACGGCTGAGAGGTCGTGGCCGGAGAGGTCGAGGTGGTACTTGATGATAACCCCCCCAGTTCGTGTGCCTTTGATCATAAGCCCCCCCTTTGTGTCATTGACATGTGGGACCGGACCCCATATGTCAGTGACACAAAGGAGGGCCCCACATGTCAGTGACACAAAGGGGGGCTTATGATCAAAGGCACACGAACTGGGGGGTTATCATCTTATGCTGACCATGGTGTACATGCCGGAGTCGCAGGCCTCGCGCAGGGACCCCTCGGCCTTGTTCCGTCCCCAGAACACCGTCACCTGGCCGGTCTTCCCCGCCGCCATGCCCGGCGCGGCCAGCGACAGGGCCGCGGCAACGACGGAGAGAAGGGCTAGGAGGTAGGCTGCTGGCCTCGGGGGTGCGAGCGGCGTCATTGTTGGTTTCTTCAACTCTCGTAGGCGTAGCTAGCTTTGGTATTGCCTTTGCTTGTTTGGATGAAGGGTTGTTTAGCTCGAATGCGATATATATATATATATAGATGGATTCTGGAGGCAAATACAGAGAGACAGATGGAGATGTGGAACTGAGCTCGCTAGGCAGCTATAGCTGACTGGAGAACCATTTTAGCTAGCTATGGTTGACTTGAGTTGGGCAAGCAAGAGTAACATTTCAGGCTCCTTTTGGTTGCTCCCTTTCGGGCGTGCCGCACGCAGGAGTGACTACTAATAGTGGGGTGGGGTTAGGATCCTCTGCTCTAGCGCACCCATGCAGTGATGAGCAATGCTACATCAACGGACTGGTTACGGGATGTTACTGGGCTAGGAATACGTGGCAGTTTTTAGTTGGTTATTAGCGGGGAACCAGGGCCCACCTCTGAAAATCTATGGGCGGAGGGTTAGTATTATGGGATAGGTCCGTACTATCTTCTCCGTAAGCATTCGTTATTATAACATTTTTGGTACTGCAGATGATCTCAACCTCTAATAGTGAGGCGGTTTTTATGAGGATACCCACTTGTAAAGCTATTTTTGCTTTTAGTTTCATTTTTCGTGTGCTGAAAACTAAGACCCAAAGATTACAATGAGTTGTATAGGAAACGCTGACAAGTGAGGTTCAAAAGTATCTTGGTCATTTCACCCTGATCAATGATAAAGTCAGATTGAAAAATCACATGAGTTCCGAGAGATTGTGGTGCCATGCATATTATAAACGAAGGAAATGGGGGAGCTTTCAAATTAAGGAGGGAATGTGGGTTAAGATGAGGGTTTGTTGTACAATGGCAAGCACGATTCGAATCTCTAATCCTAATGAAGCAATTGGTAGTCTCCGCTGGTCAATTTTCGTCCCATCACTTTTGTCCGGGTTTTTTTCATTGGTTTTTTCGTCCCCTCCACTCCCCCAGCCACCCACACACCTAGCCGAAAAAAGCACTCCACAAAAAAAAGCACTCCTATCGATCTAGGTCACAGCCCCATCAGTTCAACTCCTACGAGACCGCCACCGCCGCCGGCATCACCCATCTCGATCCAACTCCTTCCTCGGTCCAACTCTTACGAGACCGCCGCCGCCACTTCCATCGCGAAACCCCAGGGTTCCTAGCCTCCGCCACCCACGTCTTGCTCCTCTGCCAATATACGAGACCGCCGCCGCCGCCGCTGCCATCGCGGAACGCCAGGCAGGGTGTGGTCACATTGCAGGCAACGAGGAGCAGCGCAAGGCTGTGCCTGTCGTGCCCTGCATCGCGCCACCCACCACCTCCACCCTCCATAGTCATCCCTTCCCCAACCTTTGTCCCGTCCCGCATGACGGTCGGCCGTTGTGCTCCCTTAGCAGGCCAAGCCATGTTCATCCTCCCCCGCAGTACTGTGGTCCCGCCGCTGCTTCGGTCGATCATCCGCGCTCCGCCCCGCTGCGGCGCAACGCACCGTGCCCCGTAGGTGGCTGAGAGATGGAGAAGGGGGTCGTAGCAGTCGTCCCCGCGTCTTCCCCCATCTCCAGCAGCTAGATCGTTTCCACATCGGATCCATGCATGTGCATCTACGTAAGAACCATCTCCAGTAGCTAGATCGTCCCCACATTTGATTTTATTCATTGTTCATCTGGTCCTTAATTAATTATCTTGAGCCTTGATTAATTAATATGGAACTCGCACATTTGTGATGGTTTTTTATTTTGCATAAAAAGGAGAGGTGGTTCTTCTTCAGAAGAAAAATCATTCTTGTTTTCCCCGGATGTGATTATCAGTACGATCTAATCTGATCTGATTTTTCTAGATTATGGATGCTTTCTTGTTTATCCAGTCTTGACTTGCGCAGCTGGTTCATGAATATCTTCTCCTGTGGAGAGTTAGTAGTAAAATTATTTATTATGTCATCTTTCTTGTTTGTGTTGCACGGAAGACGCCAAGGTTCCAATTAGGGTCAAATCACGCTAATCTTTGATTAAAGGGTTGAAATAGTGATTTTGGCCTTAAAAATACTAAGGGGAGAGGATAGTTATTTTTTCGAGGTTTGGAGTCCCTAGATATCTCATGACTGATGGTGGCTCACATTTTATTCATGGTGCTTTCCGTAAAATGCTTGCTAAGTACGGCGTTAATCATAGAATTGCATCTCCTTATCACCCGCAGTCTAGTGGTCAAGTAGAATTGAGCAATAGAGAGCTCAAATTAATTTTGCAAAAGACCGTTAATAGATCTAGGAAGAATTGGACCAAGAAATTTGATGATGCATTATGGGCCTATAGAACTGCATATAAAAATCCTATGGGTATGTCTCCGTATAAGATGGTTTATGAAAAAGTGTGTCACTTACCTCTTGAATTTGAACATAAGGCATATTGGGCCATTAAAGAGCTCAACTATGATTTCAAACTTGCCAGTGAGAAGAGGTTGTTTGACATTAGCTCACTTGATGAATGGAGAACCCAAGCCAATGAGAATGCCAAGCTGTTTAAAGAAAAAGTTAAAAGATGGCATGACAAAAGGATACAAAAGCGTGAGTTTAACGTAGGTGATTATGTGTTGCTATTCAACTCTCATTTAAGATTTTCTGCAGGAAAACTTCTCTCTAAATGGGAAGGTCCTTACATTATCGAGGAGGTCTATCCTCCGGTGCCATAAAAATCAACAACTTCGAAGGCACAAATCCGAAGGTGGTGAACGGTCGAAGAATCAAACATTATATCTCAGGTAATCCTATAAATGTTGAAACTAATATTATCGAAACCGTAACCCCGGAGGAATACATAAGGGAAACTTTCCAGAATGTTTCAGACTCCAAAAAGGAATAGGTATGTGGTACGGTAAGCAAACCGACTCCAAAACAGTTCTAATAGCATTTTTTCTCCGTTTTAGGATATTTAAAAATTTAGGGAAGCAAGAAGTAATCCGGGAAGGACACGAGGCCTCCATGAGGGTGGAGGGCGCGCCCACCCCTACTAGGCGCGCCCCCTGCCTCGTGGGCACCTCGTGTGCCTCCCGAACTCCGTTTTCTTGCACGTTACTTCTTTTGGTCGGTAAAAAATCATTATATAATCTCCCGAAGGTTTTGACCACCGTATCATGCAAAAATCTTCTGTCTTTGTTTCGAGTTGTTTTTCTGACAGATCAAGAGCATCATGACGTCACCCCCCTCCAACAATGAAGACAAGGATGCTTGGCTATTGAAGATAGAGCTGAAAAGAGAAGAACCAGATGAGATCAACAAGGATGAAGGGATCAAGAAGGCCATGGAGGATCAAGCTCCGGCGGAGAAATAAGAAAACATCCCTCAACCTTTACCTAACCTATGTACCACAACTGAGATTGAAGCTTTCAAGATGATTGAGTTAGCTCATATACAAAACAAGCATCTCACACAGGAAAATATTTTGTTGAAGGATCATATCGTCGCACTCAAGGGCATTATCCGCAAGTTGGAGGAGCTTTTACGCTCGATGTGCGATTATCCACCATCATCATCACCGCCTTCATCACCTCTAAGGACATAATCACATGGCTATGGGCACTCCCCTTGGCAATTGCCAAGCTTGGGGGAGGTGCCCCGGTATCGTATCACCATCACACTCCTATCTTTACTGTTTTACTTAGTTCGATCCTTTTGATAATATCTAGATCTAGTAGAATAAAGTTTTGGTTTGAATTAGTTTTGAGTTTTGCTTGGCGATCCCTTTATGTAATCGAGTCCGTGAGTTATATATAATAAAGATTAGTGTTGAGTCAAGGGCTTTGCTATCTTGCCATGATTGATACGTCTCCAACGTATCTATAATTTTCGATTGCTCCATGCTACTTTATCTACTGTTTTGGACTATATTGGGCTTTATTTTCCACTTTTATATTATTATTGGGACTAACCTATTAACCGGAGGCCCAGCCCAGAATTGATGTTTTTTTTGCCTATTTCAGTATTTCGAAGAAACAGAATATCGAACGGAGTCCAAACGGAATAAAACCTTTGGGAACGTGATTTTCTCACCGAACGTGATCCAGGAGACTTGGACCCTACTCCAAGAAGTGCTAGAGGCAGTCACGAGGGTGGAGGGCGCGCCCCCCTGTGCGCGCCCCCCTGCCTCGTGGGCCCCCTGTTGCTCCACCGACGTACTCCTTCCTCCTATATATACCTACGTACCCCCGTCAGATCAGATACGGAGCCAAAAACCTAATTCCACCGCCGCAACCTTCTGTATCCGTGAGATCCCATCTTGGGGCCTGTTTCGGAGCTCCGCCGGAGAGGGCATCTACCACGGAGGGCTTCTACATCAACACCATAGCCTCTCCGATGAAGTGTGAGTAGTTTACTTCAGACCTTCGGGTCCATAGCTAGTAGCTAGATGGCTTCTTCTCTCTTTTTGGATCTCAATACAATGTTCTCCCCCTCTCTTGTGGAGATCTATTCGATGTAATCTTCTTTTTGCGGTGTGTTTGTTGAGACCGATGAATTGTGGGTTTATGATCCAGCTTATCTATGAATAATATTTGATTCTTCTCTGAATTCTTTTATGTATGATTGAGTTATTTTTGCAAGTCTCTTAGAATTATCCGTTTGGTTTGGCCAACTAGTTTGGTAGTTCTTGCAATGGGAGAAGTGTTTAGCTTTGGGTTCAATCTTGCGGTGTGCTTACCCAGTGACAGAAAGGGTTGCAAGGCACATATTGTATTGTTGCCATCGAGGATAACAAGATGGTTTTTTTTATCATATTGCATGAATTTATCCCTCTACATCATGTCATCTTGCTTAAGGCGTTACTCTGTTTTTTTAGTTAATACTCTAGATGCATGCTGGATAGCGGTCGATGAGTGGAGTAATAGTAGTAGATGCAGAATCGTTTCGATCTAGTTGTCTTGGACGTGATGCCTATATACATGATCATACCTAGATAATCTCATAATTATTCTCTTTTCTATCAATTGCTCAACAGTAATTTGTTCACC